ATATTTTCTGATATGCATATCAATTACAAGTGTACATAACATTTACAGATTGAGTCGTGCAACTTAATTTAGAATTAATTTGAGGTAGGAAAAACATACAATCAATGCAATAAAATGAGAAATAATTTAAGTAAATTATGTGACTAAATAGATAAAAAATCAAATGAAAAAAAAGAAACCATGTTCAATTATTGAGAAAGAAAATGGTAGATATTGTACTCTCTTTAGAAGTATGTACATTTTTAATTTAAGTATAAAATAGATTCTATTCAAAATATAATTTTTAACAGGAACTAATTAACTAGGCGATAAATGCCTAGTAAGTTTAATTTTGAAGGTCTTAAAAGAGTCGTGAAATATATCGATGCTAGGTATGGTTTTAGTTATTTCGTTATATTTGCCACATATACGAACAATAGGAGCATGATTCCCGAGATGAGTTTTCGCGAAAGGAATACAACGGAGAAATTTACGCGGAACAGCTAACAATATGCGATCAAGAAAATCACTGCATTTAACTTTATTGTGTACTATTTTATGTAGAAAACACAGATCTAGAATGTCTCGTCTATTTCGTAAGGCTGCCTATGTGAGATACTACTGGCATGGAAGGCAAGATGTCGAGCGAAGGCACGCTGTACACTTTCGACGCGTTGGGAGTGCACACTAAAAGATGGATTCCATATGACACTAGCGAATTCAAGGTGACTTCTTACAAAAGCATTGTATAAAATAGTTTTAGTCCTAGAAGAAAACCCTTTTGTATTGCGTTTAATAAATCCTAAGAACTTCGCGGCTTTATTAACAATAATGTTTATTTGAGAATAAAAGATTAGCTTTCTGTCAATAGCCTTTAATCTCCGGTAACTCTTGCAAAACTACATTACCAACTGAGTAACTATAGACAAATGGTTTTTTTTCTGGTATATTTTACGTGGAAGCATTTGTTAGCATTAAGAGTCATACTATTGACCTCACACCAATGAGATATTCTATTCAGATCATCCTGTATGAGCTTTATATCCTCTTCTGATTTTACTGGTTTATAAATTTTTAAATCATCAGCAAATAACGAGCAACGACAATTTTTGATTTCTGTGGTGATGTCGTTAATAAAAGCCAAGAATAATAGAGGGCCCAGATGCGAACCTTGAGGCACCCCGGATTGAGCTCGATACATTTGAGAATCGAAACCATTGACAACAACAATTTGGGATCTATTCTCCAGATAAGATCTAAACCATCCAATCAAGGAGGGACCAATACCATATGGAGAAAGTTTGTTAATGAGTTGCTTGTGATAAACCTTGTCGAATGCGCTGCTAAAGTCCGTGTATATGACGTCGATCTCCAGACCCCTATCTACTTCTTTTATAAAATCAGAAGTAAAATTGTACAAATTAGTTTGTACTGACAATCCACTTCTGAATCCATGCTGCGAGCTGGTAAGAAAATGATCAAGGTGCTTGGCAAAAGCTGGGTATACAAGACTTTAAAATAGTTTGGAAAAGCAAGAAAGAATTGATATAGGGCGATAATTTTTTATATCCATGCGATCACCCTTTTTAAACACTGGAACTATTCGTGCTTTTTTCCATTCCTCAGGGAACATACCGTCTTCTAGGGAACAATTAAAAATAAGTGTCAATGGAAAAGCAATTTTTGGTCCACAATGTTTTACAATAATGGGAGGGATACTATCTGGACCCGCACCTTTTTGAGTATCTAAAGTTTTAATTATTTTTAGGGCATCTGTTTCAGAAATCTTCAACTTACTCAATTGCGTAACATTGCTTTTTTGTTTAAAGTTTGCCGTCATGATATTAGTTGTTTCGGTGTAAATGGATGAGAAACGGTTTGCAAAAAGATTGGCTATTTCCGTTCCAGACTGCAACTTTGTTATCCAATTTCATGGGCGAGGGTAGAGATGACTCACCTTTCTTTTTATGTTTAAATTATTTCCAAAAGTGTTTTGGGTTTTTTGAAATATCAGACTCTGCATTGTGTTTAAAATCGTTAAAGCATGAAACAAAGAGTTTGTGACATCGACTGCGAAGTATTTGAAATTCTATATTATCTCTAGGGTTATTGTATTTGTGATATTTATTGCGAACTTTTTCTTTCTCTGATAATAATTTAACCAAGCTACGTGTGAACCAGTTAGGATGTTTTACTGAAATAGTCTTACGTTTAGGTACTGATAAATCGATAACTTCAAAGAGACGATTATAAAATACTTCAAACATAGCATCGAAATCTTTGCATAGAATAAATTCATGCAACCAATCAATATTTTTAATTTTCTCAACAATAGTTTTATAATAAGCCTTAAAGTATCTGTAGTCGATACGACTTTTAGAACGAAGGAAAAATATAATCGTATTCTATACTTATTAACAAACTAGGATGGTATGAATCCAGCTTACTAAATATTTCAGGTTTCGATTTATAATGTGTGTTAAATTACTTAGCACCAAGTCCAAAAGTTTACCATCACAGTTACTTATACAGTGAGTTATGTTATTAATAATGGAATGAAAGATCAACACGTTTGTTCAACTCGAGTGTTTATTTAATACTGCTTACTTTCTAATACATCGAATATCACCTACAAGTACATAGGTTACTTCACCTTTGGGGGCAAAGGAAAAAAAAAAGAGAAAAAAAAAGAATATTCTTAACTACTAAATTTCTTAGTCCTATTCTTATGAACAATGTCAATTTTACCATTTATATCAATTTTCACATTTACTCCTAAATTTTCTACAACTTTATAAGGTCCATCAAAAACACAATCTCATTTACGAGCACATTCATTTTTAAGTAAATTTTCAATTTTATATAAATTTTTAATTTAAAAACATTCTTATTATAAAATACAGGATTACATGATTCATCATATTTATCTTTCCTTTTTTCCTTACAAGTTATCAAATTATTTCTAGCATCTCTTAAGGCTACTTGCAATTTATATTTTAAATCTAAACAATAATTATCACGATTATAAAGTGGTTCAACATCATAATTCAAATTATTTGGCAATCGACATTGTCTACCAAAAACAAGTTCACAAGGAGTGTACTTAGTTTGAGTGTTCACACAATTATTATAACTAAAACACCAAAATGGAACCCAATGGGACCATGAAAAATTCGAATTAGTACAATAAGTTCTTAGAAACGCACCTAAATGTTTATGAGCTATCTCAAGAGAACCGATTGATTGGTGGCGGTATGCAGTTGACGATAACTTATCGATTTCTAATAACTTACATACCTGTTCCATAACCTGAGACATGAATTCTGTCCCCCTATCTGTAGCTATACATATCGGAATACCGAATCTTAAAATAAAGTTACTTACAAAAGCTTCTGCAACTGTAACAGCTTCTTTATTAGGCAATGGATACGCCTCTATATATTTTGTTAACTCGCATTGGAGAGTTAAAATATAACAATTTCCATTCTCATCCCTATCTAATGGTCCAACTAAATCGAGGAAAACCTTCTCGAACGCAGTCGACGCAGTGGAGGTTAAGGTCATAGGTTGTTTGGTATATTTACCTTGTTTCATTTTCTGACATAATGCGCATTTACTTATATATTTTTTTGCGGATATCCGGATCTAGTCCTGGCCAAAAGTATTTTCTCCTAATATTATTCGTCATTCTAGTTATTCCAGCATGTCCACTAGTGGGTAATAAATGATAGTCATTTAAAATAAATTGTTTCTCGTTTTCATCATAAATTCTCTCTATTCCTTTCAGTACACATATTCGGGGTCCGGACCATTCACTCAAAGATTTAACTTCACTACATATTCCTTTTATAAACTCAGTATTCTTTTCATCTTTTACTATACATAATTCTTTTACTTTTATTTTTTCGCAAAACTCTTTAAGTTTAATTGCAAATTCGGCTCGCGAGAAATGCAACTTAAAACCTAAATTAACACACAATAACATTTTATTTGGTACATACATAAAACATTCTTTTTCTATCACTTTATTTCCTTTCTTAAATTTTTCTATTACTTCCCTGTCAGTCAACCTCAATTCTACGGAATCACATGGCTGTCTTAATAGTTCCACGACGCGTGATTGATCAGGCCACTCATCAGGGTACTTATTAAGCGCAGTCTGTTCTACCGTACTATTCTGCTCCATCTTTTTCTTTTGTTGTCTCGTTACAACTGCCAAAACCTCCTCATTCATACATTTCAGTTCACTTGATGTTATACACACTCTGGATAATGCATCTGCGATTACATTATTCTTACCCTTCACATACACAATCTTAAAATCGTACTCTTCAAGAATTAAACGATATTTAATTAACATACTAGATGGATCCTTCATTCTAAATAAATAAATCAAAGGTTTGTGGTCAGTCATGATAGTAAAAGTTCTGCCAAATAAATAGGGTCTAAAATATTTAACTGCTCACACTATTGCTGTTAATTCTTTTTTCTATTACGGGATAGTTCTTTTCAGCTTTATTTAATGGTCTACTAGCATAAGCTATAGGTTTTCTATTTTTATTACACAGCACAGCTCCTACATCCAAGTCTGAGGCGTCTGTTTGCAGTACAAATTCATTAGATTCACCAAAGTCTGGGTATTCTAATATTGGTGGAGAAGTTAAAGCGTTTTTTTAAGAAATTAAATGCATTTTGGCAATCTGAATTTCAAATGAAAGGTACATCCCTTTTTAGTAAATTATTTAAAGGCATTGTTATGGTAGCAAATGGAGGTACAAATTTTCTATAGTAATTGCAAAAAGCAACAAAGCGTCTTACTTCATCGGCATTCTGAGGAACTGGAAACTTATTTAGAATTAGATTATTATGATATATATTTCTCCAAATACGCAAAGCTCGTGAGGATGACAGCATGGATATTGCGATTTGCTCATAATGCTCGCTCTAAACACAACAAGAGGACAGGAGAATTAACCTATGATGAATATGAAGAAGCAGAAAAGCGAATAATAAGAAACTAATTAATCTAGAACTTTAGTTTTTTCTGGGTCAGGTGCTATACCATCAGCGGTTACTACATGACCAAGATATAAAATTTTCTTTTTTAGAAATTGACACTTAGCGGGATTTAGTTTTAAATTTACCTTCCTCAATCTTTCAAAAACGTCTATCAAATTTTGGTTATGAGTAGCTAAAGACCTTCCAAACGTAATAAGGTCATCTAAATAAATGAAACACTTCTGAAACGCTAGTCCTGACATTGCTATTGACATGACACTACTGAAAGCACTACAGGAAGTATTAAGACCCATCGGTAAACGTTTTAATTGGTAATGTCCTGTACTAGTTGAAAAAGCTGTGTATTTTCTGCTTTCAGGTGCTAATTTTACTTGGTAGTATCCTTGTTGTAAATCTACATGAGTAAAGTAAATTGAACCAGATAGTGAGTCTAAGATGTTTGTTATGTTGGGTAACGGAAATTTATCATCTACAATGTTTTCATTTAATTTACGGAAATCGATTACTAAACGCCATTTCTGTGAGCTTTCAGACTTTTTAGGTACTAATAGAATAGGACTTGACCATTCGCTAGAAGATTCCTCGATAATGTCGTCATCGAGCATCTTTGTTATTTGTTTATTTACTTCAGTTTTTAATGCATGTTGTAATCTATATTGTTTTGTATATATTTAAATAAAGGTGTTATTTTACTATACTTCATTAAATCAGGAAACATACCAGAATCGATACAAGTATTAAAAATAATAGCAAGATGAGGTGCAATTAAATCTATTATGGACGCAATCACTGTAACGGAAATCCCCCACAAATCTGCGGTTTTCTTTCATGGCTTCATGGTTTTCATCAATGGTTTTGAATTATTTTACAATATCTTGCGGTAATACTTTTTCAAATCTAAATTATTTTAAACAGTTATTAATATTCTGTTTGAGTAATGACTCGGCGACAGTTGGAGAAGTATTCAATGACTCTGTTGTCAAGATAGGAATATCAGTGAAATATTTCTCAAACATCGTTGCGATTTCTTGATTTGATTTAGTCAATTGATTGTTAATTTTTAATTGATAGTTTGAGTTAAGAGGTTTGTCTACACCGGTTTCGCTGTTAATTATACTCCACGTCATTTTAATTTTATTCTTAGCCGTCTTAATTTTGTTGCTAATATGTAACGATTTGACTGTGGAGCAAACTATTTTAAACATTTTACATATTCTTTAAAAGCATCGGAAAGATTAAATGATCTTTCATGGTAAATGTCATATAACCTTCGTCTGCATTTATGAATTTCTACTGTCGCCCACTCATTAAATGGCTTGCGACTGTTTCTGGAGAATGTTTTAGAAGTAAATGTTTTTTTTAAATTCATTGCTTATAAGGGTAAATAATTCTCCACATAAATAGTCTGCATTGTTCTTATAAGAAAGCGATGGAAGGTTTTTTACCATATTACTTCTAAATCTCTCCAGGCGTTTTGCATTAATAGGAACAAACACAATTTTCTCAATTACCTATTTTTGTGCATATAAGTTAATGAAACCAATTGTCCACAGTGATCTGAACTAAGTTTTTGAATTATTGATTTGTTGATTGGTACAACACCTGTAAAAATTTTATCAATACAAGTTGCATTACCCCCTGCAATACTTGTACATTAAAGAATAAATTACCAAGATTATAAGATTTGAACATAGAGCAAAATTTAATACTGATGGAAGAAGTTTCCAGGAGATTGATATTAAAGTCTCCACACACTACAAAAGATTTATTCTGTTTATTAAGCTTAACTAAAACTTCTTTCATAATTTTTTCAAAGGTATTATAATTTGAACATGGGGATCTGTAAACACTGACAGCAATAAGGTGCTCAAGCTCAACGCATGCCATTTCTTCTGTACGCTCAACAGACAGGCTCACAATGTCTTTAAGTTCTTTAGATGATAAGGATTTATTAGCTAATATTAAGGAGCAATCACGTAATTTAGTATCTCTATTGAATGAACTGACCACCTGATGATTACTGAAATTAAATGTTCAATAATACATAAAATATGTATATTGTTACTATTTAAAAATAATTCAATTTCTAATTCTTTGCCTAACATACTTTTTATAGAATAGAATATTTTTTTATTCAATATACATTACATGTGTAATTCTTATTGAAAGTCATTTTTTACTTTACCACTGGTTCGAAAAAACCCTCTGTCCTGGGAAGAACCAGCAAGAAACCCAGCGGGACTTTTTTTTAAAATAAATATTACAATATAAATGATTACGAACTATTTACAAAATTTATTTTAGAAACTGCTTGGAAGCGACCATCTCATTCCTAGGGGTTATTATCAACCATGTATTCATTTATACTATAATAACCCTTTTTATACAGTTTCAGCTTAATAAAATATTTAAACTTGGTAATAGAGAGAACCTGTACACTTTCCGGGAACTTGTTGTAATAGCGTACCCAAGAATGAATTACTGACTCTGTGGAGTCGAGAAACTGGCATCCCTAGCTTGTGTTTGTTCCTAGTGTTTACAGAATGTACATCACTTTTTTTACTAAACTATATATTAAATTTTCGTAAATATACTGAAAGGCCAAAGTTAATATATTAATTTCTTTAAATTTATCTCTAAGAGACTCTCTCGGTTTTAGATTGTAAGTAGCTCTAATGGCCCTCTTCTGTAAAACAAAAATAGTTTCTGAATCAGCCGCATTTCCCCATAGCAAAATCCCATAAGACATTATGCTATGGAAATAACTAAAATAAACTAATCTAGCTGTCTCGACACTAGTGAGACCTCTAATCTGTTTTACAGCATAGACTGCAGAACTTAGTCTGCTTGCTAATTGGGATATATGGAGGCCCCACTGGAGCTTTGCGTCAAGAGTGATGCCAAGAAAAACAGTGGATACAACAGGGTTCAATTCCTCCCCATTTAAAAACACATTGGTATTCAGATTTTTAACATTCCTTGTTGTAAATTTAACACAATTAGTTTTATTTCCGTTCAGATGCAGATTATTAACGTTAAACCAATGCACTAATTTTGATATAGCATTATTCACTTCGTCACTTTTAAATGATTGACGTTTACGTTTAAAAATCAAGGAAGTATCATAAGCAAATAATACTCATCATCATGACTATCCCCTACAAGGTGAGGTAAGTCATTAATATACACCAGAAACAGGAATGGGCCGATAATCGAGTCCTGAGGAACACCCATTAGTATAGGTGACCCGGAAGAACTTTTACCATTGATAATAACCTTCTGCTTTCTATTACTTAAATATGAAATAATAAGTTTAAGCGCTGTGTTCTTGACACCATAGTACTGTAGCTTCCTGATTAATGTCTCATGGTGAACACAGTCGAAGGCCTTGGAAAGTGTCACAATATATACCCAAAGCATCCTGTGAATTCTCCCATCCACAAAAAATATGTTTAATAAGCTCAACTCAAGCGTCAATTGTCGAGCGACCCCTTGTAAAACCGAATTGATTTTTATGTAGCAATTTATTAATATTAAAGAAACTTAACATCTGATCTAAAATAATTTTTTCACAAATTTTACCTAATGTTGGTAGTACAGAAATTGGTTTTAAATTGGCGGGGTCTAATGTACTACCAGATTTAAATATAGGTATGACTTTACTATTTATTTTTTATTAAATCAGGAAACACACGCTTATATTAAATATAGTGGCTAGATAAGGTGCTGACATATCTATTATAGATAAAATAACTTTAACGGAAATCTCCCATAAGTTTGCCGTTTTCTTAACATCAATAGTTTTAAAATATTTAACGATATCTTTTGGCAGTACTCTATGGAATTTAAAAGTATTTGAACAAGCCTTTACATTTTGTTTGAGCAATGATTCGGCGACAGTAGGAGAAGAATTGCATGATTTTGTTGTCAAAAAAGGAACATCAGTAAAATGTTTCTCAAAAGCCATAGCATCTTCTTGATCAGTTGAAAATCCGAGTTGCGCGGTTTGACCTTGCCCGTTTCACTATTTATTATTCTCCAGGTCATTTTAATTTTGTTGGATGCAGTTTTAATTTTGTTGCTTAAATGTAAAGCCTTTTTAAACACTTTTTTAAATATTTTAGAATATGTTTTTATATAATCTCTAAATATAACGCTACTATTATATGATCTTTCATCATAAAGCTCGTATAACCTTCGCCCACTTTTATAAATTCCTACTGTCGCCCATTCATTAAATGATTTGCGACTATTAAAAGAGGAAGTTTTAGAAGTAAATATTCTACTAAATTCACAACCTATAATTTCAAATAATGTAGCATACAAATAATTAGCACTATTTTTAAACGAAAGTGATGGAAGTATTTTTATTATATTACTTCTAAACTTCTCCAAGCGATGTTCATTTATTGGAACAAACACAACTTTCTTATTTTTCTGTTTTTTGTGTATGTAAGGTAGTGATACTAACTGTCCACAGTGATCTGAACTTAAATTTTGAATAATTGATTTATGCAAGGGCTTAACATCTATAAAAATGTTATCTATACAGGTCGCACTAGGCCCAGCAATACGTGTTGGTTCTAAGAATAAATTTACAAGATTATACGATTTAAACAATGAGCGAAACTTAATACTAATGGAAGAAGTTTCAAGGAGATTGATATTAAAGTCTCCACAGATTACAACAGACTTGTTCTGTTTATTAAGATTGAGTAAAACTTCTTCCACAATCCTTTCAAAATGGTCATAAGTAGCACATGGGGGTCTGTAAACACTGACAACAATGAGGTGCTCGAGCTCGACACAAGCCATTTCTACAGTTCGTTCAACAGAGAGGCTCACAATATCCTTACGTTCTTTATATAATAATGATTTATCTGCTAATATTAAGGAGCCACCACGTAAACTTTTTTCTCTATTGAAGGAACTGACCACCTGGTGATTTCTGAAATTAAACATGAAATTATAATATTTTAGCCAATGTTCAGTAATACAAAGGATGTGTTGTGTATTTTGATGCACCAGGTTGATACAGTTTTCATTATTGCTATTTTGTGAAATTGCATAATTATGTATCGGTAAGTTGTATTTTAAGCTATTTAAATTATCTTTTCTACAGATTACCTCTATTGTCTTATTATCTAATTTAAATTACTTGGAACTGGTTCCAAATCAAATGTAAAATTATTTTGTTCCTCAAAAGAAGCAGGTGTCAAGGTAGCCAAATCATTGGCTGAGTTAAAATACGAGTATAAATAATAAGATAGCGTATTTGCTACCAGTCTTAAACTATACTTTCATAGGTAATACCTATCTATCTCTTGTCAAAAACTTCTTAATTTAATTTTTTAAGTCAATTAAATGAAATTTATAATTATTACAATTATATGTCAGTTTTACATTATTGTTGCGCGCCACTATTAATGTCTTGTACATGGCAACACTAGTTACACTAGCGCTCTCTAGTATCGAGTAGCAGAACTAGGAGAGTCAAGATCCTTCTAGAAATTTCGGGACCAATATGTATTCGAACATTCTAGATGTCACTACAGTAGAAGGTTCTGGAAACTATCTGAGGTCCTATATAAGGCCGGTATAGACC